TGTAGTCTGAGAAATTAAAGCTGGATTCTGATTGGCTTAGATTGGTGTAATCTGATAAATTAAAGCTGAATTCTGATTGGCTTAGATTGGTGTTATCTGATAAATTAAAGAGGAATTCTGACTGGCTTGGATTTGTGTAGCCTGACAAATTAAAGCTGAATTCTGATTGGCTTAGATTGGTGTAATATGAGAAATAAACGCTAAGTTCTGGTTGGCTCAGGCTCCCTTCACATACAGCATTTGCGTTTCCCGCACGGTTTCCGTGCGGAAGACCGCGCGGCACGAAAATGCTAAAATCTTTAATCTTCATGGATGCCGCTTGTTTGCGGCTATTATATAGCCGCACACGTGCGGAATCCACCATAACATTGTGCTTGTACTATATTGTGGGTTGCGTGGTTTCGTACCGCGTGGCCGCTGCAAAAGTCTGAACATTGCACATTAACGAGCATTGTTTTTTATGTTTAGAGCGGTTCCGCGCATATTCGTACAGCCAAACACGTGCGGACAACCGCTCCTGTGTGCATGAAGCCTTAGATTGGTGTAGTCTGACAAATGAAAGCAGAGTTCTAATTGGCTTCTATGAGTTACTGTTCACTATTGATCCTTGTTCCATTCTGTTACCATCTAAACCCCCCCGATGTCTGCTTTGTGATTATGAAGTCCAACCACCAAAGGTTATATCATTTTAGAAAGCAGCAGTTTTTAATTATAGATTATGAGAAAAGAATGAAATAGCCTTACAGTTAATGTGTCACATATTCTTATACCCTCTGAAGAAGACAAGACACCAGAACAGTGCTTATACTGTCCATAGTAATCTTGCCATTGCCAAAAAATCCTCAGTAGAAATCAGTTTATTTTGTAACTTTTTATTAAATCACTCCAGGGATCAATGTATTAAAATAAATGAAATTATATTTTAGTTAGTATATGTACCTAAATGGCACTTCACATCAGCTTCTTGTTATCTCCTTCTCAGGAACACATACATAAAAGATAGCACTGTAGACAAATCAGGGCTCTACTGATTAGCATAATGCTTTCAGCCCAACACTGGGAACATGCTTACGGCAGGAGAGAACACACGAGTCAATAGTTTGTTGCTCATTGTCTAATCAGCAAGTTGGAGGTGAAGAGGTAGCGGAGGAAGCAAAACTTCAGCAACCATCCTTTTTCCTATAATATAATATAGATAAAATATCAGATGGGCCAGTAAGATTTCTGTGTCCATAGAGAATGCTTGTATCTGTAAGGCCTGGTTCACACCTGGGCGTTTTACAGCGCGCTCCTACTCGCTGTAAAACGCTCAACATGTGAAAACCAATAATTGCCTATGGACATGGTTCCCACCTGGGCGTTTTACAGCACGTGGGGAACAGGAGCTTCTTTGGGGCGTATCTGTCGCGCGTATCCATTAGGATACAGCCGGATAGCCCTCGTAAACGCGCGTTTGTCGCGCGTTTCTTTTACCGCAAATCGCTGTAAAAACACGTGGCACGAAACGCGCTGCAAACACGCATATTCCGTACGCCTGGGTGTGAACCCAGCCTAACAGTAAAGCAGGACACATATGTGGAGCATGTAACTGAAACACCATAAGGGGAATTCATCAAAACTGCAGCAGACAGAATCTGGAACAGTTGCTCAAAGTAACCAATTAGCTTCTGTCTTCAGTTTGTTCAGTTAAGCTTTAAAATGAAAGATAGAAGCTAATAGGTTGTCATGGGCAACTGCTTGAGATTATGTCTGCTCCAGTTTTGATAAAATTCCCCCATGAATATGATTTTTATTTTTCTTGAAGGTCCACTTAACATTTCTGACAACTATGCAGAAAGTCGAGATGATTATTCAGCAGGGCCGCTCCTATATTTCTGTTACACTTGGCCATAACACAGGACTTCATCTAACTGGTTGGTACATGCCAAAGTGCTAGCTTCTTGGTGACAGATTCTCTTTAACCTTCATTGATGGAAATGAAAGTTAAACACACTTACACAAATCAGCATAGCTAAGAGTGTGAGAAAACGACAACACGTCCTGATTTATAAACATAGATTTTTAATTATGCGTACATTAATTAGGATCTGTGTACTTTTCATGTTTACAGGGGAATACATTCCCATCCGGGACTTCATTTGTGACTATTTCCTGCAACATTTCACCGACTGCTTAAATGCAATCTTCTAACATGGATATCTACACAAATCTTCAGCATCGCTTCTTTTAGAAAACAATTTGCATTTACTGAATCATCAGTATAAACCAATCTGCTGTCAAAATAGGTAAACACGTTATTTGAACAATAATGCAGAGTAAAAAAATGATATGAGTGATTTGGGAGATTATTGTAAGCCCTTAGCTACAGTATACTAAGAGCAGCATGTGCTATGGGTTGTGCTACACTTCCAAACAAAGACACTGCAATTTTGTAGACAAAGCAAATCACAATCCCACTATGTGTCGCCTGCCTGTGGGGGGTCAATTGGTCCCAAAGGCCTGCTGGACAAAAGTGTTCAATCATAAGGAGTTAGTAAAACATTAGGTGAGCACATTTATTTACACAATAGTATTCTTCTTTTTATAAATATTATTATTTACTTGTTTTTAAGCCCAAACCAGCTTTAAATACACAATATACAAAAAACACCAATACTAAGGATAAACTATACACCATAGTACAATATAGCAATCAGTCAGGTTATAGATTTAACAACATATTGCATTCGAGGATGAATGGTGATGATTTGGCTTCATTGTCACTACCCAGGTATACAGAAGCAATTACACAGTAACAAAACCATGTCAATGCACTTTGTGAAATTGGGAAAATACCTGTCATAGATACATACAGGAACAAAGGTGTAATTTCATGTATGTTTTTTAAATCATATCAATTCACTTAGGTCAAACTTATTTTAACCCGCTCTAACTAGCCCTCCCAGTTGCCCTTTTTTCCTCCCAATCTGTCTTTCCAATTTCTGGTCCACATCAGAAAAGGGAACACAGAAATGGTCGCTGTACTGACACTGCAATGACTCCAGGCTGGCAAGCTTTCTTTCCATCCTATAATTGGAAGGGTTTGTTCATCTAGTTTTCTTTAGTTTCTGCAGCTTAAGTTGAAACGGAAGTGATTAAATCATTTGTGCAGCGATGTCCTAAAGAAAATGAAATCACTGCGACTTGTTCCAGTGACATTCTGCAATTTTACAAATAGGAACGCAGGTGCTGGTCACTGAGAATGTGGGGGGAATTTATCAAAACTGGAGTAGTTGCCCAGGGCAACCAATCAGCTTCTCTTTTCAATTTGTTCAGTTGAGATTTTAAAAGGAAAGAGAGAAGCTGACTGGTTGCCCTGCATAGCTGCTAGAGATTTTGTCTGCTCCAGTTCTGATAAATCCCCTCTGTGAGATTCATAACGGTACCCAGATTCACAAGGCTGGCTGGCGTACTCTGTATGTGTGAACCATAGCTCTGATCAGATTTGGTAGAAAGCATCACATATAACATCCTAATCCAGATCAATAGCTGTGTGTCAAGCACCTATTGTAGTATGTAATGAAACAGCTGAAACAAGTGACCGAGTTCCACTTGTATGTTGACGAAAACAGGATCACAGGTCTGTGAGCAACAAGCCGTCAACACAGAACAATGCTTGTGTAGAGGAAACGGACAGCTGAGCCAAGGAAAGCAAAACAGCCGGTGACAGGAGTGTTCTCAAAGGAAGGAAGAGTAACTTCACCTTATAGCACCAACCTATGCAGTAGAGAATACCTAATGTTTAGGAAGACAGGATCCTATTCCCATTTATCTGTATATGCTTCCATTCTTCATTATGGCATCTTGCTAAAGTCCAAATACTTTATATGATCAGCAGAAATATGTTGATTTGTTTTTTTATATGATCTTAAAATCAATAACTCATTGTTTGTTCCTGTTTTGGCATTTCCTCAGGTTAATTGTTTTCATATCACTTTCACTTTAAAGAATAACTAAACTCAAGCACAGAAACGAAACATATTGCACCTTACCAGTCCTTAGATGTGGCAGCTGCATTCGTTTTCTCTTTTCAGACTAAGAACTTTTTTTAGCAATTACAGATAATAGCGATTTGCCTTGTCAGAAATTATGTTTCCTTGTCACTTCCTGCGAGCGCAGTCTAATCTTTCTTATGCAAACTACTCATTCCATCATCACCCCCATGTGATGAAGATGAACACAAGCAGACCTGTTTAAAGCCCAGCCGAGGTAATAATCCCATGATTGTCACCCAGGCTGGACTTTAAACATATCTGCTTGTGTTCATCTTCATGACATGGGGGTGATGATGGAATGAGTAGTTTGCATAAGAAAGATTAGATACAGTGGAGGAAAGAGCATAGCCACACCAGGGGCAGGAAGCACATCACTGGCTGCATCACCAGGTGACAAAAAGAAAATCTAATGCAGCCACCACATCTAAGGATTGGAAAACCTTAATATATTACAATTGTTTCTGGGTTTAGATACACTTTAAGAACCATTTAATTAAACCCTTCAAAGAGTGATCTGAAGACAAAGCACAATCTAATCTAAACTAATTCCATCACCCCCCAATATGATGATGTAGACATATTTGAAGTCCAGCCTGGGTGACACCCATGACTTCCACCATGGATACAGTGCGGGAGTGACAGTAGCCACCCTAGCACAAGAAGTGTGTTATTCACCGGATTGCCAGGTGAAAAATAAAGGGAACGGAGGGTAAAAGTAGAACTTGAATGCATACACCTCATGTAAGGACTGGTCAGCTTCATTATATTACATTGTTGTTTCTGGGTTTAGATAGACTTTCAGTAGAGAAGCAGCAATACCATTGAAGTAAACCTTCAGAGAGTGAGCTCTGACAGCTCTGGTACTTTGCAATGGCGTGGGTTTCATACGGCAAAGCCTCTTTACTAAACATCTGTGCCCTTGCCATCCCCCCTGTGGTGCCCCTGGCATGCAGCTGGCCCACTTACCGTGATACTCTTGTCCAGGTACGTAGTAGCTGGGGTTTCCCGCAAGGTGCAGAGAGATGAGCACTTCTCCTTGCTCTCCGTCCCCTTCTAACTCGCCGTGGTGGGTACACAGGAAGAAGAACGGAGAAAACCTGGGGTAATACGCCACCGCTCCGCACACAGCGGCTAGGTACACGGTGCCCAGGACCAGCAGGAGTGGATATCGCCTGCTATGGCAGGAGCGTACCTGAGCCATGGCCGGGGCTGCCTCTAGACTCTATGCTGCATAAGTGGCGGCGGAAGATTGTGTTGAGGGGGGACAAACAAAAGTTGAGAGGGCGGAAAGTGCAGGTAAACTTAGTCCTGTGCCTTGCCGTGTACTCAGGTGAGGGGAGCTCGCCACACTTTGTACGCTTGTCTGACAGGAACGGAGCCAATGATGAGGAGAGAGAGCGAGCCTGCGAACTGGGGGCTCCCAAACACATAAGACATGCCTCATATGCACATCATTTTAACAGGAGCAGCGGGACACGCCCCCTGATAGCTCATTGGTCCAATCCTGTACATCGTGCTGCAACGGGGAGCTGAAAAGGTGAATGATAACGGGATTCCGGACGAGCAGGCGCTCCGGCGTCCCTTTAGACGTGCCTGTCCCCTACTCCCTATGTATCCCTATTGTATGAGCCGCGAGGTACTCAATCACCGGGGTACGAAGATTATTATCACTGCCTAGTTCCACAGACACTGAAATGCATTTCATTAACTGAAGCCAAGCGTCTTTGGGCGTTTTTTGAATGTTTTTATAGCCACCTTTCCAAGTGTTTTAGACTTTAACATTTTGCATTTGCATGGGGCGAATTGACCCCTAACAGTGTGAAGGGCTAGCATTTGATGCGTCCGAGCTTTGGGAAGAAGCATGCAGAAAGCTCATGTTAGGCTCCATTCATATATACCGTTTACCATGCCAAGACCACACAGGACGCAAACGCTATATGTGAAACAATGTCCGCCATATTATCGGGCTTTCACCATTTTGGGGGCCGCATGGTCCCTGCAATAGTCTGAACAATGCACATTAAAGTGCATTGTTTTTTTCTGTTTAGAGCGGCTCCACGTGTATTTGTACAGCCGAATACTCGCTGACAGCCACCCCAGTGGGAGTGGAGCCTATGGCTATAGAGATTTAGAAGCTGTGCGTCCTCACATACTGCTTCCCGCACCAAGATTGATGTGGATCATCGCTGGACAACATGATTGACGATGGATCTACATTGGTTGATACTTTTTTTTGTTTGTCTTTTTTTAAATAAAGGACTTATCACAAATTGTCTTGTTTTGTTTTGTTTTTTTCAGATAAGCCCCCCTGCCCGCAGACCCCCACAACCATGGGGTCAGGGTTGTGGGGAACAGGCCCTTGTCCTCATTGCCATGGTGACAAGGTGCTTTTCCAGGAGATCCCCTCTCAGAAAAGCACCCTCTCCATGTTGACGACATGTCGCGTATGGTACTTGCTCGTCCCCCTTTCCTGCCCTGCTAGGCCACTTTTTTTTGGCATTAGGGTCCCCCTTAAAAGTCCTACCAGACCTAAAGGGCCTGGTAGGACTTTTTGGAGAACTACATGCTTTTTTTTTTTACATTGGGCCCCCTCCCCCCCTTTCATTGCAGCACTTAGCTGCAATGAAAATTTGTTCGTAAAGACTACCGCATCCGAAATTAACAATAATTTCAGATTCGTTCAAATTCGTTCAGACCCAAATCCCAAAAAACAAAATAACTGAAATCCCAAAAAATAAAAATCTGAAACAGAACACATTTTTTGCCGGCTTACATGTCTAGCACAGCTCCTGCATCTCTATAGACTTACATGAGCTGCCCACAGGCTTCTTCCCACAGCTCTTAAGGATGCACAGCTCCTGAATTGCCATAGACTTACATGATCTGCCCACAGGCTTCTTCCCACAGCTCTGAGAGGATGCACAGCTCCTGCATCACCATAGACTTACATGAGCTGCCCAAAGGCGTCTTCCCACAGCTCTTGGTGGATGCACAGCTCCTGCATCTCCATAGACTTACATGAGCTGCCCACAGGCTTCTTTCCACAGCTCTGAGAGGATGCACAGCTCCTGCATCACCATAGACTTAGGGTGCCCACACACCTTACGATTATCGTACGATAATCGCGGGAAATCCCGCGATCGTACGATGTTCGTAAGGTGTGTGGAAGCCGTGCGACCTCTACTACTGTAAGGTCGCATGATTTTAAACTTACGGACATGTTTGAAAACCCGCCGAGCATCGTACGATGTTCGGCGGGTTTGTGGCATGTCCGTACGATAACAGCCGCACGGGCCGGAGTGCGCAAGCGAACTAACATAAGCTGCCCACAGACTTCTTCCCACAGCTCTGAGAGGATGACAGCTCCTGCATCTCCATAAACTTATATGAGCTGCCCACAGGCTTCTTCCCACAGCTCTGAGATGATGCACAGCTCCTCCATCTCGTACATGAGCTGCCCATAAACGCCTTCCACCAGCTCTGAGAGGATACACAACTCTGGCATCTCAATAGACTTAAATGAGCTGCCCACAAACTTCTTTCTCACAGCTCTGAGAGGATGCACAGCTGCTGCATTTCCATAGACTTACAATAGCTGCCCACTGGCTTCTTCCCACAGCTCTGATAGGATGCACAGCTCCTGCATGTCCATACACCATATACCAAAGGCAATGTCAAATATTAGCTACCTTCGGGCCGGCCGTAGTAAAAAAACGGCCGGCCGTGAGCTCTCTAGATCTGAGCGGGCGTCAATGGCAAAAAAAAAAAAAAAAAATAAAAGCCCCCCCCCCAAAAAAAAGTTACACATAAAAAATAATTTAAAAAAAAAACATTTTTTAAAGTCCCCACCCATACATACACGCATGCAAACATGCATCGGGGGCGTATACGTGCAAAAAAGACGATTGCGCCCATTACGCAGCACATGTTACATATCGCCGCGAACGTCGGAGCGAGAGCAATAATTCTAGGGCCATCAATCACTGATAACACTAAACTGATGAGCGGTAAAAGCTTTTAAAGTGTCGCCTATGGCCAATTTTGGGTATGGTAGTTTTCTGCGATTTCGCGGGTGCGCGAAATTTTAAAGCTTGACATGTTTGGTGTCTATTTACCCGACGTGACCCCGACTTTTATATTTTACCATAATAAATGTGTCCTAACATAATGGGGGGAAAAAACTTTTTTTTTTCCAAAATTTTCAGTAATTTTTCCTAATTATAGTAAAAAATAAAAACCGCAGTGGTGATTAAATACCACCAAAATAAAGCTCTATGTGTCCCCAAAAAAGGGTATAAAATTAATTTCAGTACAGCGCTGCATGATGGAATAAATGTCAGTCAAAGTACCGCAGCGCTGAATACTGAAAAATGGCCTGGCCAGGAAGGGGTTCTAAACACCTGGTCTTCAAGCAGTTGAAGAATGGAGGCCATTCTTTGTAGAATATGCCCTATGTCACAGCTCATTCCTGCCCTACCCCCAAAAAATTGTAAATGTTGTGGAGCTCATCATAGGTTATACTGCACACTGCAGGACAGTTTCAGCTATTATAAGGAATGAGATGTATACATACCAAAGGGGAGCCTATATACCAGGGCTTAAAATTTCCACTCGCCTGCTCGCATTTTGCGAGTAAAAATAAGGTGAGGGCGAGTGGAAATTTGAGAGCAGAGCAGCTCCTGTCAGTTCTGGCTTCCTTCGGCCAGAGCTCTCACAGTTCTGAGCTCCGGTGAAGGAAAGAATGTCTATGAGCAGCATCGATGCCTGGCTATTGGGGGTGATAGTGAGGATTGCTGCAGACCTCTGTAATCACTTACAGATAAACCAGGGATCGATCCTGCTCACAGCCTCCTCCCTGCAAAGACGTGAACAGGTGAGGCTCAGGGGAAGGGGTTGAGTGTATTATAATTTTGTGTGGGGGGTTAATAAGGGTGGGGGGATATTATTATATAACCATGGTATGACTTTTGTTGTGCGATGGTTGTAGGGTCATTAAAATCTCGTACGATCTGCCCATCTTTGACAGGCAGATCATACTTGCGTTCATCGCAAGCCCTCCCCGCTGAGGGGAGGGCTTCCGCTGATTGCAGTGCTGAGTGGGCACACCGGCCCATGCGCCATTCGTTTTCCAACCACGCCACCAACCCGCCAAAAATCGTACGATTTTCGGCAGGTTTTACAGCGTGCTTGGAAGACAAAAGTCGTACGACCTTACAGTAGAAGCGGTCGCACGCTGCCTATACACCTGCCCATACACACATCCTCATATGGTAGTGGTAAAAATTATCAGTGCCCCCCCAGTTTTGACTGTGGTATCTTATTTGCACCCTGTTAACATAATATAAAGCAACGTATGTGTTTCATATAATGCATGAGATGCTATTGAATGCCATATATTATATGACATTGCACATATTAAGATAGACATAATACCTTAATTTATCCTACATTCTTATTACCCGTCACTTCAAGTCTCACTTAATTAAAAATAACTCACAGGACTGCATGTAGCATCTTCTGTAGATGATGACTTTCTATGACAGGGAGACAGGGAAGATCACTTTCCAATGAAATGTGTGCTGAGCTGACATTGTGTTTCTAAGCACAGCATGGATAGTGTATGCTACAATTTCCAGTAAAGATGTAGTCTTATAGTATTAATTACATTTTAACCAAATCCGCGATATAAAAAATAAGTTTAACTAAACTGATATAATAGAAAGAAAACAGAGTTTCAACCAACATTACATCCCAAATATAGCTGAATTTTTTTTTTAAATAGGTAAGATAGAAAAATACATGTTTACTAATGCTATGAGCCTCAGAGCCATGAATTTGACTTAAGAAAGGCCTGTCTAAAATATCTCCAAGGCAGCGATTTTGCTAAAAAACTGCAGATACATGAGTGGTTACACTTGCAATTGTTTTTATTTATTTTTAATATAGTTTTCACTCTTATGAAAAAATGGGGTACCCCTACTAAGATAAAGTATATTAGTATTGTAGTATCCCTATAGGAAGAAGACTGGCAAGCATGTGACGCATTGCTATGTTACTATCAGTCTGTATGCTCACCAGCATTGTGTGGGTTATTCAGGAAGTTGTCCCTCTATAATGCGGCACCATTCTCAAAGCAGTGATGCTCAGTGCTAACAGTATGCAGATGCCCCTGCTGAGACCCTCCACATCTGCCCTTGCTGCGATCCTCCACATCTCCTCTACGGAGACCCTCCACATCTGCCCCTGCTGAGACCATCTG